CTGCATCGCTCTCTTGGTTGTTCGTCTCCCCCCAAGGGTGTGCAGAGCGGGGCTCTTCTGGAAAGAAGATATGAATTCAAAATATTTTGTAAGCCCTGGGCAATCCATCTCATGGAAAAACTGTTGTTAAAAAAAAAAAAAAAAAAAGGTTCACAGGTTGCATGCACAGGGTTAGGTACCATAATTGGCCGTACTGACGTTTTTTGCTCTCATTAAGTCTCGGTAGGTATAGTTTGTTGCTCTATTCTCTTTGTTTTTTAGAATTTGTCATCAGTACTGGCCTGTATTAGTTTGTCGTTGTTAGTCGTTACGGAAGAGGACTCGTACTTCCGTCGGATGTGTGTTGTCTTTGAACGAGTACCCGGGTGCAGGTCCCCAACCAGACCTGGCACCACGTTGCGTGAATTGTTTGTCTGTACGTATATGGAATAGTCTGTGTGGGTGTAGGGTATGTAGTTTCTGTCGTTTCAAATACCCCGGAACAGGTCCCAGTATTGGGCCCTACCGGGACCTGTTACCTGGTCGCACAGTTTTCCCGTTGGTCCGTGCACATGCAGATACTATAAGAAGTGTAAGTACGATATCGTCATCCTCTTACGGTTCGCCCGCTCCCGCTTACGCGGTAGTGGACGATGGGTTTGCGGTACGTTTGGAGGTTTATTGGGCGTGAGGTTGTTGGAATGGTGCCGTAATTCTCGAGGATCTGTATTCACATTTGTCTTGTCTCGTCCTTCTTTGAGTTGCTTGACTTGACGTGCTCGTCTTGTCTCGTCCCTCTTTGAGTTGCTTGACTTGAAGTTTACTCTGTATCAGACACTCATATGACACTGCATGCACAGCCAAAAGAAAAAGAAAAAAAAACAGAAAAAGGGCAACAATGATACCATCTCGGGGCTTATCCGCCCCATTCCGGAAAAAAATCAAAATAAAATTGACAACCATTGTCTGCTGTGCAGGCAAAAGCTGAAGGAAACATACCGCTCCGTTGCGCACATGGAAATTGGCAACAGGATCTAGTGCTCTTCCCCGCCTTTTCTCCTTCAACAAATACCTACAAATAATGTTTAAGAACAAACATATCCAACATGTCCAACAAAGTTAATAAACACATCCAGCAAACATACAGAACATTAGTAATTTGATTCAATAGAATCAAATTCAACCAATACATTAAATTCATAAATTTGATCTTAAATAATAATAAAAAATGTATCCAACAAACATTTTGAAACATCAATAGATTCAATACATAGGACTGACCAACCCCAGGTAATTCAGAATTATTCCATTCATGTCACATTTGGACTCGGGTCGGCTGATCAACAGTTCATCTTCCAAAATACTGGCAGCGCATCCACCAGTCTCGTCAGCAAGTCGGCAATCCATCCAGTGCTCTCCGATCTTCTGGCAAGTGTCCAATTGACATCCACATGCGGCGTGGAGACTAGGTACCCCCACTTTGTCGTATAGGTGTGTAGCAGGACCACTTCGTTGCTGTGTAAATGGTGCTCCCATGCACAGTCTGTGCGATCGACCTGCTCTATTCGGGGGCATCTGCTGTGAAGCATTTTTGCACTTTTGTTGCCTTTAGCCTGGCTCGTGCTTCTTTCTATGATTTCTGTTTCTTTTATGCTGTTGATTTCAGACCTTCAACGACCGAGGTTTGGGCGCGGCTGAAGTGCTTTTTTGCCCAGGCCTGTCGGTCGGTACCTTTTCTAAGGGACACTGGGCCCGTTTCCAGGCGTGTATATTCCAGCCTTGGGCATTGGGCCCGCTGTCTTAAATTGCCACTACCTTTCACAGTGGTGTCCCGTTTCGGAATATAGCCTATACCTAGGTTGTTTTTCCAGGTGCCCGGGCACCCAACTTCTGTGTTACATGCTGCGCCTGCAACAGGCTGCACGGGCCATTTTCAGGCCCGTGTTGTTTTCAGCCTGAAAGCCTGAAAACAAGGGCTTACAGGCCCCGGGTCGTTTCAGACTGAACGCCTGAAAACAAGGGCCTACAGGCCCTGTGTCGTTTCAGGCTAAATCAGGGCCTTTCAGGCCCTGAGTATTTTCAGCCTGAAACTGAGGGCCATTTTCAGGCCCTCATCAGTTCGACCTGCCCTGAAACTCAGGCACCAGACCAGGGTTTTAGCTCAGGCCATTTTTGGCCTATTTTCAAGACAACCTTTGTTTGAGCTTCAACCCCAGGGTCTGGCACGTTTTGGCATTGGCAAGAGCAGCCTCCTGGACGGGCCAGCACTATATAAGACTGGCCCGCCCTGCAGGAGGCAGGTAGTTCCTAGGTACTTCCCAGGCACTTCACGTGCAGTTCAGGAGGCAGGAGGTAGTCTTCAGGATTCGGCAGCAGCACTCTGGAGGAGCGCTGCAGTAGTAGTAGTAGCGTTAGTAGTAGCGCTAGTAGCGTTAGCAGTAGTCTTCAGCGCTGGGCGCCATAGGAGCTAGAGTACTAGAGAGAGAGAGAGAGATTGGGCGGAGGCCAGGGAGACTTACCTGCAGCGCCATTGCTCCAGCTTCGTCTTCGAGGTACCTGCAGCACAGCGCCATCTTCACAGGTTAGTACCTGGCACATGAGAGAGAGAGAGTTCTTCTTCTTCTTCTTCTCAGTCCACCATCTCCTTCTCACCCTCTCGCTATCTGACTTCACTGCATCAGCAGACTGCGAGAGAGAGAGAGAGAGAGAGAGAGAGAGAGAGAGAGAGAGAGAGAGAG